TACTTCTCCCTCCCTCCCTCCCTCCCCCTCTCTCTCTCTCTCTCTCTCTTTCTCTCTCTCTCTCTCTCTCTGTCTTCTCTAACCTCTCCAGAAAAGTTCTGTTTAAATGTTTTACATATTGGACAATCTCTCTTCCTTTTAAACAAAAGATTATTTGGACTACCCCCTCTCCTAAAAACAAGCCCCTTCACATTAGCTTATTTGTACGGTTGCTTCCTGTGCTAAGGCCTCATGCCTAACTTCATGGGTTTATTTTATTTTATCTTTTTATTGTTGTTGTGTTTTCTTTAATTCTTACAAAGTGATTACATACATGTACCATTTAAAACTCTCTTCCCTGCACTAGACTAGTTGCAGAATTTACATGAAACGGCAAACTGTTTATAAACTGAGGGCTGGAGGAGACTCCAGGAATGAGACAAGGACTTGCGTTCCTTTGCTAATCACACTTTTGCCAGGTCAAAGTACCAGGCAACTCTATACACCTCAGAGAAACAGCTTCCCTGGAAGTTTTCCCTCTTCTCTTTGCCTTCCTTTGAGCTACCCTAGCATGTTATTTCCGTCTTTGAATGTTAACTCAATTCAGCATTCATCTGCTGGGTGCTTGCTGTAAGTAAACCATTTTCTACATTATTTTTAGTTATGTCCATTGCTTATTTCCCCTTCTGGATGGTCACCTCTTTGATGTGAGCCTTCCTGTTTGATCTCTTCCTTACTTCCTATCCCCAGTGCCTAGCACAATGCCTTGGGAAGTCAGCACACAACAGATAATTTTGATTGAAAAAAATGGAAAAGTAATCATATTCCAAGTGGACTACCCTTCTTTGAAGATCTTTCAATAAAAGTACCAGTCAAAGTTAACAGCTATGATTAATTTGCTAAGTTTTGTACTACTTATGCCCTTAAAACTGATATTATTATTTTGTACCATTGATATTAAGTCAGGTCCTATGATGAACAACATACCATTCACACCCACCAAATCTTAGAGAATTCCTCATTCCTGAAACTCTGAGATATTTAGATTTTTAATAATTCCCTGAAATTCTCAGTGGGTTTGCGGTACATTGCTACTCTAGATTTGATTCTGAAGATAGAACAATTCACAAAGCTATTAAATTTTGACATCCTGAAACTCTGAGATATTTAGATTTTTAATAATTCCCTGAAATTCTCAGTGGGTTTGCGGTTCATTGCTACTCTAGATTTGATTCTGAAGATAGAACAATTCACAAAGCTATTAAATTTTGACATTTAAGAACTTCGTTATTAAAGTTAAATTTTTATTTTACAATTAAGGTATACCTTTTGGTCAAATTGAAGACATTAAGGTAGTTGGTATATCCCTCAGAAGTACAGTGGAATAAATATATATTTCATGCAAGTTTGCTATTTTCCTGATTTCAGAAACAGAATAAGAGTAGAAAGAAGGATGTACCGTATACTGTGTTCTCTACTCCATCACCATCTGACCAGAAATAACATCAAGTGGAAACTTGTTGTCTAATTTTTACAATAACTTAAAGCAAAAAATTTGAACTATATAATACACCCAAAGTTCTACTCAACTACTGTTCCCTGCTACTGAAAAACCCAATGTCAAGTACAGTAGGCATTTTTATTAATTAAATGCTACTGAGGAATGCATATATAGAGTTTCTTTAATTCAAAGCAAATGTATGCTTATAATTATATGGATTTCCAATGCTTTACATTTCATTTCTTACCTAGTATGTTCCTTATTGGTAGATGGACTATAGTTTAAAAATTTCAGAACTTTCTTTATCATACCATTAGCCAGCCAATTTTAATCAACTAGTGATAAAATGTAATGTATTAGATGACTTCCATCTAAGTTATAAAGGTGGTACAGTATTGCTAGAGATGTAATGCTGTTTTAAATTTTAAAAAGCAAAAGGCAGTAAAATATTTTAATTTTTAAGTGATTGGTTATTTGAAATATTAATCATATTTTAAGGAAGCATAGAAAAAGAGTAAGTAAAATAACAAAGGCAATGTGTGCCTAAAATAAGTATCAGTTCACTGTAAATTGAAAAAGCCAACCAATTAACTGGCTGTATTACCTGTACTTTGCTAAGCAGTCGATTCAACTAACTCTTCTTTTCCAAATCAACTATGTCTCAGATTGCAAGGAAAACAATTGTATAACTGTCAGTCATTGAGTTGCCAACATTTATTTCTACCAAGTTTCAAAAAGGTTGTGTTTTATTTTGGCCTTAGTGGCAGTAAAGGTTTATGGGACCCTCTTCTTCCTATGTTAGTAATAAAAATCATTCCAAATGAAGACAATCTGCAGTTTAATACAGGGAAAAGCAAAGAACCACGAGTACTTACTACAGAGAAGAATTCTGTTTCATGACATAAATATCAAATAATAGCAAGTTGGGATCCTGAAATAGTAGCCTTAGGCTAATTGTGTTTAAAGTGAATTTTGGTTGCTTATACTGATGATTCTTAACTAGAAGACAGCAGACATGTCTTCTGTTAGTGTCAGTGTACTTTATCCCTGAGGGACAAATCCCTTAGGTATATTGGGTTGGGTTGAGAACCACTAGTGTAGATGAAGAATTTACTCATACTTAGCAATGAAGAAAACAAAAAGTATTTCTTTAATATAAAAATGTGTAAAACAAGAACTTTTCAGTAAATCAAAAGATTAACTGTACTGTAAGTGTCCAGTCATGTTTGGCGTGATTGAAATATTCAACCATGCTGATGGGTTTATATCAGTGATTATATAAAACAAAGGCAATGGGCCATGTGCACACTTCCAAACCATCTCAACTAAGCTCCTGCAAAAACAAATCAGAACAACAATAGCAACAAAACTGAACTACTGTATCACAAGTGCATATCTATCTGTTATTTACCAGTATATCCTTATGATTAGCACAGTGGAAAGAACATATCGTTCACCTCATAAATATTTGTTGAATTGATAAATTGGCTTGATTCTGGGTAAAATTAGTTCCCTTTGTAGTTGTAATTCCATTGTAAATTTTAGTTACTGGTAACTTTTTGATGCTCAATGCTCCCTTGAATCATGTGACTAGAAACAATGATGCAGTGATAAGTACAGTGATACAGTTTGCATTGATTGCCTTATTTTATTTGTGTATTTACAGGCAAATGGACACAGTTTTGTACATATGGAACATGAAAAAGCTGTATTACTACTGAAGAGTTTCCAGAACACAGTAGACCTAGTTATTCAACGTGAGCTTACTGTCTAAATATTTTTTATAAATAGTGAAGATACGTCTAGCCAGACCTAATGTTCAAAGATAAATTTATACATAGAAACAAATTTTGCCAATTGCTGGACCAATGGCAAACATTAGTGCCAAATGTATAATAGTATATGTTAGCACTGATCATCCTTAAAAATGTTAACTCTATAAATATGATGTTTATGTGGTTATGTATTAGTTTTAATTGTCAGCCTCTGGCTGTGCATTGGTGCAGTTTTGTTTTTGTTTTTGTTTTTGTTTTTTGATCAAATAAGTTTCTTCTCAAAGTGGATTTCATATAATTTCAGAGCACGGAAGCACACACAAGCTCTTTACAAATTCTGCACTCCATCAGAAACACTGCCTCAAAGTTGTATATGCCTTTATATAGGAAGTACAAATATAAAGAATTGTAATTCCCATAAAATATTTCTAGCACAAGGTATATGTTGGCATATATACAAAAAGAATATATAGAAAAACAATATTTTCATAAATTAAACATCTCGGATTGAGAAAGAAAATATATCTTAAAATAAGACTTTACTACATTAAATCTTTTTCAATAAAAATTCATGATAATGCCTTATGAAAGTAACTGTACATATGGTATAAAGTGTTTATATTTGGTTCCATATTCATTTGCTAAATTCTCATAACACAGAGTGAAATATTTCATAAATTAGCCATTTATCTCTGGGACCTGGATAACAATAGGATAACTAATTTGTTCAATGCCTTTAGCTAATTACACTATGTGCAGAGTTAAGAAACAGACTAAAGGTCATTACAGATAAATCTTTTTCACCATAAATTTAAGCAGTGAATGATGGGTGGCAGGAAAGATATTGCTTTATTTCTTTCAAGTTTATGTTGATTATAAACTGTAGACCCTGTGATTTCTTTACTTGTAAATGTGGAATTTATTTGTGTGTTGCTTTCTTTAATTTGCTACGTTTAAATCTTTTAAAATGAGTTTTGGGAATTGATAAAGTTCATCTTAAGAATGACTGTTAGAAAGTTGTAGGTGGTTAAAAAAAGTTGGTATTTAAATATGAAACTTCAAATATAATTTCTCAGAGCTGTGGTCTACCTGCATTATTAATTTCAATGCCTGTTTTGGGGGGTAGAAGTAGATAAAGCACTTTTTTTTTTTTTTCAAAAAAGTTTCAAGGTATATAAAATCCTGAGTGCTGTCTCATTGGAGAGAAAGACAAGCATAGTTAATATAGAATTACTTACTTTTACATTGGAACTGCTTTTCTCTATAAATGATCAAAATTCATTTTAAAATCTTTTAAAATATTTCTTTTTTATATGTCCTTAATTTGATTGAAATATTAAATACCAGTACAATTCCCCAGAGTTGATTGTATATATTCTCTCTCATATTTCCACATAGCTCTTTTTTTTTAATATAATGAATTTACTTTACATGCTAGTGTTTCAAGTATTCTATTAGAATTTTCTCAGTAGTATCACAAATTGATGGCACCAAAGCTCTGAGAATAATATTTGTAGGTTAACTGTTTTATGGGGACATTGAAAATATTGTATTTTTATAGGGTCTATTAAAATGAGTGTCACTTATTAGAAGTACAGTGGTATTTTTTTGGCAATAGAATTTATCACTTGAAGGCAAATGATAATTCACTTTATAGATGATGCACTAATTTTGATGTTGCTTTATGGCAGGGTGACATTATACCATGATTTTAAAGGGTTTGACAATTAGCTAATAATTAAATGACTGGCCTATTTAGTATGTTTCCCAGAAGTAACTTTTAAATGCATTTTAATATATTAAGAGTTTCTGATGGGAAATGGCTTTCAGAGACTAATTTTGTCAAAAACTCACACCAATCCACCATATCCAGATATTTCAGAAGTAACTTTTAAATGCATTTTAATATATTAAGAGTTTCTGATGAGAAATGGCTTTCAGAGACTAATTTTGTCAAAAACTCACACCAATCCACCATATCCAGATATTATAGAATGATCCCATTAATCATAATAGAGGCCTTCACTGGCCTTACAAGATCGCTCAAAGGAAAAACAAACTCATGGGTGTAGTTTGGTGGCAATGAAACATCTCAAATCATCCCATCAGTTTGTTTAATCTTTTACGGGAGAGATAGAAGAGGCAGATGTAGGACTTGCCCAAGTCTTTTTCTTATGTCAGGCTTCCACATGAAACCCAGGGCTTCAGGAAATTCTTCTGAGTCACAAAGCTGAAAGGACCATGAAGGATCATGGTAAACACCTCTGCCACTCCTAATGTGACGATATTGTCTTGGGCCAGTGCTTTAATACTTCCGTTCTGCAGTTCAGAAATGAGGAAAAGATAAAAGGGATCCCTGAACAACTGAAAAAGAAATCGGATATGCCAGAGTACTTCATCGTCAACTGTTAACTGCCATGCTGCATGCTGAGAAAAGGCAGATAATAATGAAAAGAGGACTTTTTTTAGGTTGACTGAATAGAATCACTAATCACTTGAGGGGAAAAAATCTAACTGATTCTGTAGGTGACCAAAACCAATAATACATTGATTTATGAGTAATGACTTTTTTGGAGAAACTGGTTTTGCTGCCTGAAATTAGAATCTGGTTCATGTTAACAGCATCAAAAAAGTCAAGGGTGTGCCTTTTAATAAAAGGAAAAATCAACAACAAAAAGGAGTGGAATTCATGGTGGCTCCAATAGAGGTCAATAGAGGTCCAATCTTGGTCTTTGATTTTTATTGGAATTTTCCGCTGAGGAAGCTGTTTACATGTTATGGATCAGTAAAATTTAAGGGAGGGGGCTGAGAAAGATTAGAGGTGGAAAAAACAAGCACTGAAAATCATTCATAGAATTGCTTCAGATTTTGCAAGACAAATAGATATTAGTGGACAATTTTTAAAACTATTTACAAGGCTTATAATACTTTGTCATAAAAGCTTTCTAATGATAATTCCAGCCTTCCAGAAGACACAAGTCACATAAACACAAAGAATACTTTCAAAATATAAGTGTATTTTTGACAAGGAATACTCAGTTAGTATTGTATATGAATATTTACATCATTAATTTATTGCTCATTGAAGCCTATAGAAGATATGCATCCCTATTACTTAGAATTGTAATTATATAGACATTAAACAATCTTGATTGTTTCTGAGCCTTACCTCAGATTATTACCTTCAATATGAAAAACAGCTTTAAAGAGGGGATGACAAATCAATGTTAACTTGTTTTTTTTAATCTAAAAGATGATTGCACACATATTACTAATATAATTGCTTATTTAAAAGTAGGACTGAAATATCTTTTATCAAGCTAAAAAGAGAGAAGATTCAGAGAGGCAAAAATACTAAAGAAATTAGATCTATATATTCAAATATTAAGTGAAAAGTATCTGAATGTGCCAAAATGATTAATGAAAGAAACCAGAAAAGCACTTTATTTTTAATAATAAAATCTATTTAATATCTCCACCACAATTTAAAGCTTTGTAAAACATAGTCTACTTGCCAGCTTGTCTTGCCATTGACTTTTATTGCTGTCCTTAATCAATTTTTGCCCCCGTTGGCACACAGATCAAGAATGTCTATTCTGATGAATACACTAATATCAGGAGGCAAGAATACAACACAACCAGATTAAAAGCCATACTGGTAAGGTACTACCACTCTAAGTCTTTGGTAAGTTCAATCAGACAACACGTTTGACTGATTCCTGATATAGGTCACTAAAAGGTTATGTAAGTAATGAAATCCAATAAGAAGATGGATTCTTTATCTAGTATAAAGAAAAGCAGGGTTGGGGTAACAGTAAAGTTCCTCTCACAGAAATGCTATACCTTTCTAAGGCTTAATTAAATGTTCAAACACTGGGTTGGCGATGTAACCTCTCATACAGTTGTAGCTACCTGATCATTTGGGAATTGGGGTGAAATCTCCAGATTTAAGATCACTTGAATGACCTCGTTTCCTTAGCACCACCACTTTATACAACTACCTTCCATTAAGAAAAGTATCCTGCCTTGGCTCAGAATATTTTACTATCACCCAGCAAGACCATACCCCAAGCATACATTATAAGCAAGAAAATAGAATATGAACTGTGAACAAATAGATGTGCTCTATGGAAAACATGTGGGTTAATATTATAGGAGTATCATCGAGGAGTGCTTCCTTTTAGCTCTATTTTGATCTAAACTTTACAGAGGATGTATTTTCTGAGACACCCCACTGTACAAAATCAAAGTAGATGCAATCAAGTGTTCCAATTCTATCCAAAGCCTTCTGGGGACATTTGTTTCTAGCATGTAAAACTGACTTCTCTTTATTGCTACTGTCACTGCTATAGAGCTTTCCCTACAGTTCCCCATGCTGTTCCAAAGGCAGTGGATGTCCTTCTAAGGATAGACAAGGATAAGAGGCCCCCTTAGAGTTCTAGCTGTATGGAGACCCTTGAATATCAACTGATGGTTCCATCTTCCAGTTTGGGAAAACTTTCTTGGGTGATCAAGGAACCTGGGGCAGTAGCATTAACCAAGGCCCAAAGATGGAGTGTTAATTGTGTTACTAACAACAGCCAGCAAAGCTTGAGTGCAAGGGTGAGGGTGGCGATGTGTTAATAGAACTGTGTTTTCCCTTTTTTTGAAATTTTGAATTTTGCCATGTTAAGATACTTACTCTGAGCCTTCCAACTACTTGTTATTGGGACAGGTTCCAATATTCTTTGCCTCTAATACTGTCTGCAAGAGAATGATTTGGAAACACTCTCCTGTGAGGGTCTAAATTGCACAGCTTCTACTCTGGAGAATTCAGAGACTTTTGAAAAACTGAGGGGAAAATACACTCTAAAACATATTTAAAAACAGACAGGGAAAATACAGAAATATTGAATCCCCTGGATTTTTAACTATGTGATTATCTTAATCTTCCCTGAGAGCAGTTCTATGGGAAGTAAAGAGAAAAAACCTGAAAGAGGGGAAATAATTTACTGGTTCCAACTTTAGAGGTATTTCTTACGCTGGTAGGGTTTCCCCAGTTGGATTCTGTGTAGGATGGTCAGCTCATGCTCTTTGTAACAGCACTTTGAGCACTGAACAAGGTAAGAAATAGGCCTGGATTAAGGCATGCACAGATGAGAAGGAAGGCTGTCTCTGCAGCTGAAAAAATATATATATATATAAATATATATATTTTTTTGCCTAATTTTTTTAATGGCAGCACTTCAAAGAGTGGAAGGTTGTAAAATTCAGGCAGTATTTATGTAGAAAGTACTGAAATCCTGGTGATGGAACCAGTATAGGCCTGACCTAAAGAAAAAGTCATGGGTCACATTTCCACAGGTAAGATTTTCAAACCTAGCAAAATTTTCTTTTCTTCTTTAAAAAAATGGCTTTTTTTTCATTCCTTAAGCTAGAATAATTTTCAATGGATGTGAGAATTGGCGTTGAGAACAAAAGAACCCTAATCTTTCTCCGGTTTTAAAAGTGTATTTTTTTCATCACTGTTACACAGGTATATTATTTGTGCTGATTTTTTTCCTTTTTTTTCTTATTCCTTTTTTTTGGATGAGTAAGCAGCCTAATAAGCAGCCAGGCATCTCTACAACTAGAGTAAAATATCTTAGTACAGGGACTTTTACTTTCATCAGCAAACTCCTGTATTTCCTCTACAGGAAACATTTACTGTAGCTGAATCTCAGATGCCTAAGGTATGCCATTCATAAATTCAAAACACTTGGAGACATTTCATTGAAAAACATAACAAAAAACATTAAATGCAATAATAAATGTTGAAATAAATATTTGTTGAGCATAAACTACATATCAGGCTCTGCAAGGGATAAAATGTAGTCTCCCGTGCACAGAATCTCACAATCAAATGGAAAGATGAGAGAAGTTCCAGATCAAAGACACTATGAGGCAATGTGGTGAGTCCCTTTGTCCCTGCCCTCACACCCTATTGCAAAAGGAAAAGCATCTTTATCTAGTCAAATCTGTTTGTAATTGAGCATGGTTGTTCCATTTGTTGCTGCAGATAGATCTCCCCACGGGGTCCTATGGCCTTTGGGAAGCCATTATGAATGTTTGCCAGGATTTAGGGCAACTTTTGATAGGCTAGACATGGCAAGAGTGGGTACCTTACTGGACATAAGAAATAGCATCTAGAATCCCTTGAATTGGGAAGAGCAGCCAGAATGTTGCCAATTTGTTCTAAAGAGGAAAGGCAATCTAATGAAGAATGGTGCCCCTCCAACTGGTCCAGCATTGTGTCTACATGCCCCTGACATGATGGATGAAAGAGTCAGAAGTCAACACTTTAAAAGACATGGGGGTTTGATTCAAAAGATTCTTCTATGTTGAGTGTCCCCAAAAGTCCCTCCTGTGACCACTGCCTCTTATAGACTATCAGGGAGAATGGGAGTCCATGTGGCCTAATATTAGAATGACCCACTCAGAAATGCAATGAGCTGAACAGTCATTCAGCTGGCTGCACTTCATATTTACTGACTTCACTTGTGGGGTAAAGAACATTTTCACTGCAAGTTGTTCAACTGATCCCATGAAAATGCTGTTTGAATGAGGTTAGATCCCACATATCCACATATCATAAACGTATATTATTCTTGCAAGGAAAGTTTGATCCTCTAAATCTAGCAATTGTTTTTTTCTTCACCCTATACATACTCAGTCTTTTAGGCATATAGAAATCCTTACCTTCCTGAGTACTCCCTGTGCTTTTGTATCTGAGTTTTTGCCCACACT